ATGTGCAACTATATTTAACTTTTTGTTTTACATTTTTTTTTATAAATAATTATGGGAAGTGCCCTTTTTCTCACTTGAGCACCCCCCCCCAAAAAATGTCTGTGCACGTCCCTGCATTGCACATAAGTTCAAATATTAAAAAATACCTGAGTATTCCCTGTATAGCACAAACTATATTGGCTATAAGTAAATGAATGAGTGATTTATTTCCACAGTGGTTGTCCCATTAACAGAAGCAAACTTTGCTTTTTTCAATCTTTATTTCGAACAGATTAAAAAAAAATAAAAAATAACAAATGTGAAAAACAGAATACCGTAATGTTAAAATACAGTATTTATCCACATTCATGATAATATTTATATATTCAACAAAAAAAAGTCTTCATATTAATAATAATAATAAAAAGTCATATGTGTCCGAAAGGGAGTAGGAGGAAGCAAATGCTTATTAATTTGCTTCACTTGTATACGGCTTTACAAGACACATTACATTATGAAAAATGTCCCTTATTTGAACAGTAATGCATCATTGGCACCATATTGTAGTTACAACAACAAGCTGTTTCCAGCCGTGTCCTTAGATTAAAGTGACTAATGCTAGAAAAGTCAGAAAAATTGAAAATTCCCATTGAAGCATGTTTTCGCTCCATTGTGCTTTTCAATTTACAAAAGGTGGTCATTTGTAACGATTAGCTGCAACACAGTACAATAGAGAACTGTGGAGCACGTGCAGCACACACCCCTTCTAGTATTTACCTGCTCAGCTGCCTGCATTTCCCCATAGCTTTCCAGGAAGTTGCCCTGGATCACCGAGCCCACAATGGTCAGACCCTTTCCCGCCTTCAGCTGCGAGGCAAAGGTGAGCAGACGAGGGTATTTCACATGGAGGTCTTCATCCAGCTTCAGCAGCACCAGCAGCTGAGGTCTGAAAGAGTCAGAGAAAATCAATATGAGTCAAAGGCCTGGATCAAATGTGTCAAATCAGATGTGTTTGTGCATCCTTGTTAAAAGATTGTGTTATTGAGACAAATTCACATTATTTACCTAGGTTGCCGTTGTGTTCATTAATACAAAAATAGTTTTGATTTTGATCAAATTGGACACTTTCAAGTTGTATTGTCAAGCAGCTTTTCTGTGATTTGCTTTTCAAAACACACAGTGTATACGATAAAGTGGGATAAAGGTGAATATATTTGAAAATGTGTTTATACATCCAGCTAACACATAACTGTTCATTCTATGGCAGTTAGAAGACACCATTTCCCTTTGAATGAGGTCCTAATGACATCAGAAAGAAATGCAAATGTGTATATTTCTATTTAACAACTAAAATAATTCTCGAGTTCTGCCAAATTTTAGATACCTGGATTTTTGTAAACCACTGAATCACCCAGAAACTATTTACTGGGCTGCTCTGTTTGGATAAGATTGAGATTAGATAAGATTTTATTGAGGACGTGTCTGGAAAAAAAATGAAATTGTGAGAGCGAGAAAAACAAAACATAAAATGTCCAGCAAATGTATAAAGAAAACTTAAAATAAATAACATTACTGTGTCTGCAAAGAGTAGGAAGAACATAATTGTTAAACTTAATGTTACAATGTAAAGCTATTGGACCCAAAGCACTCTAGCTACATGCCTTAGTGTCCACATGTTCTTATTTCCTCACTACAGTTGTTCCATACAAAAAGAGGAAGTGCAGCATCACAGTGGTTATGTAATACAGCACACAATTCCCATTTAGCATGGTCACAATGAGCTTGGAATCTTCCCTCAGACGTCAACTTCCCTAAAACGACCGTCAATTCCTAACTGACAGACGGCACGCACGTGTCAGTATGGACAACAGCTGATGGTAAACATCTCAAATGTTGTTTATTTTGTGTGGCATTATCATCATTCTGTAGAGCCATTGTTATCCGATGTGGAAGGCCTACTTTTTATGAGCTTTGTCCCTTTGGATGCAACACGTTTCTCAAATGCAATAGACAGGATTTTGATAAAACTCACAGCTTCTCTCTAATCCAGAATTTAAAAAAATAAATGGTCTGCACACAAGCTGGGATCAGTCATTACAATGGGAACTATTTGCCAGTGGTCAGAGGGAGAGAGTGTGGCATGATTCTGTTAAATGTATAGTGTATAAGCTCTATTCATAACCGAACACAGACGTGAAAACTTGCAATATGGCTTCTCAGAAATGCAGTCCAATGGGGTTTTCTGTACATATTGAGAGTGCCTCTTGCAGGTTTAGCTGTACCTCCAGTTCTTGGTGTGCGGGGGTCCAACCTCCAGTCTCAACAGGGCGTATCGTGCTGCGCTGAGGGACAGTCCTCTTATACCGTCCCCCCACTCCTTCTCTGCTCTGTTGTTGGAAGAGAGACAAGAAACAGACATGAGGATTGGAACAAAAGTTAATCAACTACAGATACACAGAAACACAACCATCATGCAAGAATGTACTCTAATGGGGCAGCAAAACAAAAGTGTAAATGCTAATAAGTCATCATACATACATACCCTTGAAACTCTATGTATTTGTAGATCATCCCAGCAATGACCATGGCCACAATAGCGTAGTACCAGGAGGAGATGAACATCAGAGCCAAACACATACTCATGCCAAGGAAGGACAGAGCCCTGTGGATGTGACACATAGAGCCTGAGGCGATGTTTTTGCACACTAAGAAAACCTGTGTGTGTGTGTGTGTGTGTGTGTGTGTGTGTGTGTGTGTGTGTGTGTGTGTGTGTGTGTGTGTGTGTGTGTTTATATGTATGGGAGGGAGGGTTGATTTCGTTTTTATTTTATTTCTGTTTGTCTGTATTATTGTTATTATTTTTAGCTTACGTATTCTGTATTCTGCATTTTGTATATTTTGTAAGTAATTGCTGTTGTCAAATTTTTCTTTTTCGTATGTTAATTAAAAAAATATTTTAAAGAACAAATGTTGTGCTTTTGGTTGTCTATTAATCTCAATAAAAATGTGATCACCAAAAAATAAGTATAAAAATGTCCTATTTTTGCCATTGTGAGCTTACATGGAAAGGATAGGAGCCACCATGTCCAGTGAGGCAATAAGGATGCCCAGTTCAGCGATGAGGCCCGTCAGCAGTAAGGCCCATGTCGGCTCTCCATTGGCCTTTCCGTGACCAAACACCTGAAAACAAGAAATTCCAAACGTTCAAACACAGCGATGCAAATCCCTTCATGTTTGATACTGCGTCAGAGTCAAATAAGCATCCCATTCAAATTTCAAGTCACATTTCCGACACACTGTAAGTAATTTACATGTTATCGTGAATATCCAAATCATGGTATGTTCAGTAAATAATACAAAACAGATGTGACCAAGGGAGTTATTATGGTTTTGCTGCAACATTAGCTATCTTTCCAGAGGACGTGACGGGGTTGCACAAAGTATCAACAACAACAACAACGTCTCACCCGGAGGAAGGGAATGATGTTGTCCTTGGCGATAGCCTGCAGGAGTCGTGGCGCCCCGGTGAGAGACTGAAGGCCCGCGCCCACCGTGGAGAAGAAGGAGCCAATCACAATAACCCATGGAGACGGCCAGGAGAGCGTACCCACCACCAAGGTTTTGTGAACAGCGTCCCCAAACCTGCAAGAACAGACTGACTGAATATCACCAAGAATAAGACTGACATGACTTATTGAAGAGTCAAGCTCTGCTGTCATACACACAAACGCTACAGTGTAGTTTTTGGCAGTAAAATCCTATGACCCAGACTCCCCCTAACATTTCAACATACAAAATACTTAAGACATAAAAAAGATAAGAGACATAAATCAGTACAAATTACACAATATGGCACGTGAAATGCAGGAATGAGTAAACTATGTACATGACAAATTGAATAGAATAAAACAGATTGTCAAACTAAGTACTGATAGGTCTAATAAAATACTGTTTATTGCTATAATATATGAATGGATGTGGATTGTAAAAATACTAAATACGATAATTCAATTCAGAGCTCAGGGATTTAATAGTCTTAAAGCCTGTGGGATAAAACTGTCCCTGAGTCTGAGCTGTTTTGATAGCTGTTACATTTCCCAAAACTCGGGAGGAAGTCTGGGGAACATACGTGCCATATATGGTTACACTTATAGCATGTCCCAATAGTGCAGTAAACAAACAACTTACTTGTCCCTGAGGACCACTCCTTCTATACAAGAACCAAACAGAACCACAGAACTGATATCTGAACAAGAGGTCAAGGAGACACACATATAAATCTACTTTAGCATCTTTTCTGAAAGAACACAGTTGTTGATTCATTGTGGGTGATCGTCAAAAAAAGGATACAAACAAGAGAAGTAGTAGTAATGGCTAATATGGTTCCCACAGGGATGGACTTTTGAGCGTCCCGGAGATCTCCAGATCGGTTGGACCCTGCCATGATACCTGTAAGGCAAAATAGAGTTAGTGAAAACAGAGGAAATGTAAGAGCTGTTTAACTGTGCCCCCTGCTGGCTGGATCAGTGGTTAAGCTTGTTTGTTTCACTGTGTGCTAGTTACTTATGTTAACAAATGTAATAACATAGCATTTAATGGCTTAATGTTGCATCCAAATTCAAACATTATAGATTTAAGTTCAAGCAGGTAACTGGCACTTTAGTTCAAAATGATTTGTTGAACACATTTGGAAAAGAGTCAATTTACAGTTTCATCCTGTATGTAGACTGAGGTTTGTGTCATGGCAGACCTTTGTGAAGGTTTTCTGTATAGTTGTAATACCTGTGGCAGACGGGAAGAAGATCCCCACCAGGAGCGTGAACGATGTAGCGATGTCTGCTGACACGTACATGCCAAAGTTGTCCGGGGCACCATGGACCTCCACTGACTCGAGCCCCACTTTCTCCAAGATCTCCCCCTTCCTTTGGTAGTCGCCCCACATGTTTTCTAAAAACAGAAGACATTTAAAACATTGGTGACACACTTACATTAGAAAACAGTATCATTTTATAACGCATATGTTATTCATGATGTAGGCAAACTATAACAACATCAAAAACAGCTTGAATTTGCCACTGAATGATTATATATCCTTAAAATTTACATTTAACATTTATGCAATAAAGTTATGAATGCATCTTCATCTTGAATACATCCCAACACTGTATTTTACTTCTTAATCTGGATGGCTATAATAATGATTTACATACTTGCAACGTTGAGAGTTGTTACCTTAATACCTTAATCCCTAAAATGTACCTTTAATAATCCCACTGCCCAGTCCAGGAATGCCCTGTATCTCCGTCACATTGTTCTGGAGGAAGTAGTCATCACACTGCGCGCTGCTCATGTTCCCCGGCAGACAGAACCTCTCCCACAGCTGGCTGGGCACCGTCATGTTGTCCTTTGTCACCGTTTTAGAACACACATCGAAGCGATCTCTCACCAAAGTCCTGTTTCCCAGCATGCAGATCCTACAGCCAGGACAGGGACACAAATACAGGGATTACGATGGTCGTGGAGCATTTCTCCAAAAGGTTATCAAACTTTAGTATTTAAGTTATAGTCAAACTGTTGGACTGAAACATTTAATTGGTGAGAGATTAACGCCATAATAATAATAAGGACAATTGTATTAAAAAATAATATTAATAACTGAATAATATTTTCTATAAAAATTAAAACAATTATATAACTAATTTCCATAGAAAACACTTCATCCATATTAAGGTCCCCGTAATTCACAACACTTTCTGTTAAGGCACATGTTTATATTAGCAAACCCTTCCTTGCAGACTTACGTAAACTCTGGGGGATGAGTCATGGATTTTAATGCCCCAGCATAGATGGAGACAATTGAGATAATGACGCAGGCCAGGAAAAGAGAGGCCAGCTTGTTGACATATTTGACTCCAACAAAAACCACCACAGCCATCAGACTGAGGCAGATCGAGCCGTACACTCGCATGTTGTTCAGCATGGCACTGTCACCCCCAAGGGAGTCTGTGGCGTGAAATATGGCCGCCTGGGGGACCAGATATTTCTGAGGAGAAAATAAATTACAGTCTGGTTACTGCATGTATAAAATAAAAACACATATAAAATAATGTTTGGATATCATTTTGAAGTCTACCAATGTGAGTAATGTAACCACACATTAATATTTAAGCAAACTAACCAAGAAGATTTCGACTGCCCCCAAAATATACATGGCAGAGGCAAAGGTGGTGCCCAAGTAGAAGCACAGACCCACAGCTCCTCCAAACTCAGGGCCGAGGGAGCGTGAGATCATGAAGTATGCCCCTCCAGCTATACAACAAAACAAAGTGTTACACACAGAGAGTTACTGGAAATACAAATTCTGTACTAGATTACATGCAGTGGATTCAACGGAAAATCTCTGCTGCCCCCAAGTGGATACAAACGTAATTTCAAATGTAACTTCTACATCTATGCCGAGCAGTATGGAGATACAGTAAGCATACAGGTCCAGATAGAAATGTCTTACAAAGCAGTTCATGTCTACTAACTTGTCTAAAACATGGCATTTATAGTGCGGACGTCGGCATTTTGCTGGATACATTTATGCTAAGGGAGCTCTCTTTTTACATGACGTTAAATTACATTTAGCTTTCAAACTCAAAGAAGCAAGAGTCCTGTAAATACATTAGCTTTTAACAACTCAAACCCCTGCTACTGCATTGGTTTCAAATTAGCCAAAACATTTCTGAGTGCTATGTACCAAAGAGAGATTTTGAATTACCTGGAACAACACCATTCGTAGCAATGGCACTCATTGATATGGCCGTGAGCATTGTCTACAGAGGAAAGAAAATATAAGTAATATGGAAAAGGCTTGGCAACTTGTAGGTATTCAGTAAATATCCAATATTAAAATTGACATTAAGCACAGCTTCCCTCCAAGAAAACATGTCTCTAAAGATTTAGCATATGAAGCCTAAGGTTAATAAGACCACAGTAAGCTATTTGTTGAGTATGAAAGGTAATGGAAGCACTGACTAAAGAAAACATACAGGTGAAGGGGGAATGATTTGGCTTAAATCATTGCTGCTTCCTCTTTAACCATGGGGATCCTATTGAGTGGTTTAGCAAAGGCTAGCCCACCTTGTTGGGGGAATCAACCCAGCGTGTGTGTGTGTTGGTCTGTACAGTTGTGTGTGTGTGTGTGTGTGTGTGTGTGTGTGTGTGTGTGTGTGTGTGTGTGTGTGTGTGAACACTAACACAAGAGCAGCACATGAGCACGATCAGGAGTGACTGCATGATGCCAGCCATCCCTACAATCCACGTCAGTCGGAGGAAGAGGATGACACCGAAGATGTTCTGGAGACACGGCAGGTAGACTCCCATCAGAGTGCCCATGTTGGGAGTCTGACAGAGAGAAAGAGGGAGGGGTAAAGAGATAGAGATGGAGAGGGAGAGGGGAGAATATTGACCATGACATTTCAGGAAACAAGTGTATTGATCACTTGTATTGATTGATGTACTTTTTTAAAGGTCATTCAATCATGTTATCATGAGCTCTTTGCATGCATTCAGGTCTCCCACAGCCACCGTGTGAGTGCAGAGCGTGCAAAGGCATAAGCAATCAATCAACAACTCTTAATACAAATCTAAAACTTGGATAGCGAGGCAGGGAGAGAGCGAGAGGTGGAGGATAATGTTTCTAAACCTCCATAGACTGAGTGATAGAAAAACAGCGGGGCCTAGTGTTCCTCGGCTGTGTCCTGACCTTGGGGGTCTTCCTGCGCGAGGCCCCTGCGCTCTCCTCGTCCTCGTGCTCCTTCGCCCCCTGGGTGATGTTGGTGTAGCTGACCAGGCGGCTGAGCAGAGACGAGACCTTCGGCCGGATGTCCAGCTCTTCCTGGAGGAGGAAAAGAAGGGAGAAGTTGTATTAATGAGTTTGGTGCAAGTGGAACATCTTAAATAAATATGGGGGAAAGTAACAGACCTCAAACAAAGCCAGGTTCCTGTCATAGAAGTCATTATTCTTGCTTGTAGCATCAGCACTGTTGAGAAATGGTCTGTCTTCTTTATGATTCCCATGTCCTGTTAGAGAAAGGGAAACAACCTATAATATACAGCGGAATATCAACCAAACAATATTTCTCTGCAAATACTTGTTCTTTGAGATGTATTGGAGGCATCCTGTTAATCATGCACTGTAACTGCAACAGCAAATCATTTTTGATCCACTGATATGACACAATGAGATATGATTTTAAATAAAGTTCATAGAAATCTGCTAAAATATCTGCGTTAAACTGGGAAGATTAGTATTTACTGTAACAACAAGACTTTGTGTTTACATAAAATATGAATGTCATTCATGTAAAACTATGGAGTTACGATCACTGGGCTTAAAGCGTCACAAGTAAAATCCACAGTCACTTTGATTCTTTCACATGTTGTGCAACGTGAAATATTGTCCCAGGTGGCTTGAAGTTTTATTTAGTCCAAATATACAATGGGTCAACAGAGATGAATATTATTGGTGCACATACTGTAGAATAAAACAGTTGTGGTTTTAATCAATGTCTTCCAATTTGGATCACGAACCTTCTAAAGTACTGTTAATAAAAGAAAAGTTAAAAAAAGGATTTGATGTGGCATTATCGAGATATTAATTAAGCCCAGCATTATCTCCTGTGCAGCAATTAATAAAACGTAAGTAGAAAAATGCAATGTATGTTTCTATACCAAATACAGTGTCTTCATTGCAATGCTTGTAAATATACATTAGTATCACTTCAACATCTTCATAATCTTCATGTAGAAAACACAACCCATGCTGAGGAGCTGCAGAGAAAGGCCAGCAGCACAGATCCACTAAGCAGTGTCCGCAGATAAACAGCCATATAATTAGATTTTACTCATTAACTTCTGCTTTTGAAGAAAGAATCAAGCCGAGGAGAACACACTGCCTGCGGCGATTATTGCACGCAGAGTGTGAGTGCAGATGTTATCACACACACAGGCACGCACCTCATTACCGAGAAATAACCTACGCTGTGATTATTAGAGCATGTAAACTTTGACAGAGGCATCTTTAAAACCCATATTAATCCTCCAGCAAAAAGTCTGCCAATTTACCAAGTGAGCATGACATTGACAATAATCTCAACAGTGATGAAGATGTCTAAGCTTTGCTGTAAGTGGTTGAGGTTGAATGCTGCTCTGCACTCACCTGTGTTCTGTGTCCCACTGCTGCTGTCTCGGTGGGTGAGCATAGTTATGAGCGGTGTGCAAACTGCAGCAGGACTCTGAGCTCGAGCCTGGGGAATTGTCGATTACTATCCGGGACACTCGGTCACCCAGGGTGATATTCCATCGGGGGCCTGATCTAACACATGGTGCATGGTGAGGGGGGCAGGTAGGGTACTGTAGTAACTTCCTGACTAACAAACACATGCAGAGCACAGGTCGGCTCATAGGGATACAAGAGCCTTGGGTTGGGTTGAAGGTATCTCCAAAAAGTGCAGTATTACAGCATCTGTAGTAGGTATTATTAATTATTAATTAATTAATCAATCAATTAATCCTATTACATGTATTCATGTTCAGTTTGGATATATTGGATATATCATCCTTCAAACGTTTTTTCCCCATGCCATTATTCCAAGAAAATATCACAAAGCAAAAACAAAGCCTTGTATGAATAGCTGCAACAAGTATGTGTCTTATCAATTAGCTCATTGACAGAAGGTAATTGCGAACTAGTTTGATAATCATTGTATTGTTGTTGAAGTAATTTGTTTTTTATAGACAGAAAATAATATTTTAAGCCTGTATTTTAAAGGACATTTTCTAAGTTTAATATCATATTCAGTATATTTGGGTGATGTACTGACAAAAGGAGATATTTAAAGATATTTGACCTTAGGCTTTAGGAATTGATGTGGACATTTTTCAATATTTTAGGCTAAACAAACAGATACAAATTGGACATTATCTGCAGATTAATCAATATTGAAAACAATCATTAGTTGCAGTGTCATTTTGAAACAAATAACCTGATGTTCCAGTTCTCTATGAAAGAAAGGTTTGTGTACAAGATGTCTAAAGGATGCAAATACCAGAAGGAAATGAGTTAATCATCTGGAGCATGAAGGCTAAACTCCCAATGGTCTGACTACTCTCTTTAAACCCTAACAACCACACAGCAGGATCAGAGTTACGGTGGAGACAAGATGAGATCAAACATTGCCAACACTGTCCCCTAGTGTCATCTTGCTGTCAGTGGCACGGGATAAAAACACAACAAAGTGTTTGAAGCAGCAATGAGGGGGAACTACTGTGTGAAGGAGATTGAGGATGTTTTCTTTGCCCTACAATTAGCCAAAGAATATATGTTTTAAAAGGTTTCCACAGGACATTTTACTCAATCATTACTAGATCCTGATATTAAACCCAAAATAGTTCAGCTTCCGGCTCAGTCTATTTCAGAACCTGCAAAACAGGAGACAGCGGGGGTCTGTTGTTAATAACCTCACCTTAAATGTCTAATTAAAAAGATTAAAGATTAAAGTTGCCTGTTATGAAGGCACATAAGAGCCATGCTGTGTGCCCCGAAACAGAACAGAGGCTTTACAGCAACGTGCACTGACATGTCACCTGTGCCCCCCCCTCCCCCCTGGCTGCCAGAAGATCAAAGATGTCTGTGCTGGAGGACTGACACATTCACACAAGGGTGAACCAAGGCAGAGCAGTAAATCAGGGAGGGTCACGACTTCTACTTTTCTTTTTTAGTTTCTCTAACTCTGTTTAGATCTTTTTTTGGGGGGGATTCTAAGCGGAGTTCTATTTACTCCGACATAATAAAATAAACACTGCTTTTATAACAACACCGTGTAGATGCTACATACATGCAGTCAAGAATATTTACTTAAAGGTGGGGTAGGTAAGTTTGAGAAACCGGCTCGATATACACTTTTTGTTATATTCCATGGAATGCTCTTTACATCCCGATAGCAATGAATATCTGAAGTGCTTTGACAAAAAATCCATAAAAACATGTCATCTGTGGAAGCCGTGGCGCTGTAAAAAGCACGACCAATCATCTGAGCCGGCCCGTCTAAAGTAACTGGATGGCCTACCTGCCTGTCAGCCTTCCATCTGTGCACAAACTTATCTCGTGCCCTCATTGGTCATGTGCGCGTTCGTGTGAGTTGGAGGAGGGGCTCTGTAAGGAAGAGGCAGATTTTTTCTGGCTGTGTATTTTCACATTCTAGCGCACTCGAGCTGGTTTCTCCAAAATTACCTAACCAACCTTTAAGGATCTGCTACTGTTTAGTTCCCAAATATTTTAAGTTAAATGGTAATACTGCAAATATTTTAAAAAGCATACACTATAAGCACTTTGAGTGTTTATTATTGCCATAAGACTGGAAGCAGCTCTTAAGTGTAGGCCTCCTTTGATTCGATTTACCATGCTCTCAATTATAGCTATAGGCCTACCTATATTAAAGCCAACATAGTTAATGCTAAAAGCAAATGTTTTGACAGGCTGCCTATGTGTCTAGGTTTTATTTGTTGTCTGTTTAAAACCAGATCACTTTTCTGGGAAGATTCTTCGTTGTCAAAGTATTTTCAGAGTGCAAAGTACATGACATTGAAAACAAAAAACAACATGTCAGGGCAAGTCTACAAAGACAAAACCAATATTGTTTATGATTTGTTATAGGTCTAACAAATGAAGCTCCAGGAGCCAGGAAGACCTTCTTTACTCATTCATTTATTATGCTATGTTACTACTCTCTCTCCTCTCAATAAGTGATCGGGGGCGTCACTCCCCAGCTTAACCAATCACTTCGCTCTATTCTCACAAGCCTATCATAGCGCTCCGCTAAGCCTTTTAAATCTGCTCTCCCCTCTGACAGCTGTCATTTCAGGTGACTCGACGCAACCCTCCTCCACCCCTTTTCACCTCCTGTCCCTCTGAATACAGGGTCAAGCCACTCCCCTTCAGACCGAACCCAACTATCCATTCACCACCACCAGTGTCTAGACCCCGGGGGGTTTCATCGGATCGGTTCTCCGCTCCCGAACGATACTCCTGCACAACGGGGCCTAATCGCCAAAATCACCATTACATCCATTCGTGTATTCCTGACAATAAATATGTATTCTTAAGTCAAAACCGTCTCTCCTGATTGAACAACTGTCAGAAAGTGTCTCCTTCAATCCTTTAGAAGAGTGTTTCACAAATTAGCGATTTGATTTTGCATTGTCCTGGTGGGATATTATCAAGTAGCCTTCAAAGCCTAACCTGACCCCAAGGCAGAAAGAAACTTCACAGTAATGTCTCTCAACTTTTTTTTAAAGCTGATTGGTCATGGAAAACAATATCCCACCTTGTCCATGAGCTTATTCTGCTTTTAAAAAAAAGCCTCTTTGCTAAACTTCCTCTTCAATAAACACTCAAGACTTAACACTAAGAGGCAGAGCAGTAATGTAGTAGGACGTATAACTCTACTTTGTGCAGATAGTTGGCAAGACTGCTCCGTTGATTACTGTATGTGCAGAGAGAAATGCGTGCATGTGTTTGTGAAAGAGAGACAGGCTGTAAAAAGAGACTGTGTGCATGTCCTTTGGTCCCTCGGCTTTAATAAGCTGCATGCCTTCATAGCATGTGACTATGCCACTGGGTTGGGCAAACATAATACAACTGTTGCTTGGCAGCGGGTCAACTAATGAAAGGAAATGTATGCTCTATTGTGCAGTGTATTCAGCTCATTGTTTATGTGTGTGGGCCTGTAAAATGATCCTCCAAACACAGAGCCACTCTGACCTTTTAAAAATGTCTACCCTTTTGGCTTTTTACAACCAGCTGTAACCAACCAGCAATCCTAACTAAACTAATACAACTTTGATATGTCATATATGGAGTGTTGCTATGTAGAAACTCATCGAGCTCTACCAACAGGATGTGAATGATAACATCAACTGATTTCATCTCATTTTTTCATTTAATCGTTTAGTTGAATAGGGGCAATGCACATTAATTAACACTTTAGAGCAATAATGCTTCAAGTGTAAATATGCAGGAT